ACCATGGCACACCACAACAGTCTAGGTGTGAGACCATGGCACACCACAACAGTCTAGGTGTGAGACCATGGCACACCACAACAGTCTAGGTGTGACATGATAGCACATCACAATAGTTGGTTTTCTTTCTTTTTACATTAAAAAAAGATAAATTGACTCTTAATAAAGGTTAGTTTTGAAGGTTTGGAAAATGATAATAATGTTTATTGGTTGTTTTGGGGGCTTTTCTTTGTTTATTTTGTAATAAAATGACACACACACACACACTCATACAAAAGAATCAAAAAAAAAAAGAAAAGAAAGGAGTCTGGGGACTTGGTTCAGTTGTTGAACAAAGAATTTGGTCTTCACCAAAAAAAATTGAATTTTAACTATTGACTATTTTGACTTTATAAGAAATCTGCAATGAAAAGTAAAATAAGAAAAGGCAAACACTGATCTTGACTACATGTATAACATCTGATGAATTCTCTGTGACTATAGCTTTAGTGGATGAAGAGAAATCAAACAGATGATTGCCATGGAGAGAGTAGAATGAACAAATGGTGTTAACTCATAGAAGAAGAAATAATGAGATAAAATAAACTGAGAGGGGGAAGAATCAAACTTAAGTAACACATAACAGTATGTTAAAACATACTATTCTCTCTCATCAAGGAGGAAAAGGAAATTAATGTACAATGCTTGTTAGGAAAGGGAACAGATTGTTAAGAGCCTGTTTGGAAGTTCTATCAGGGGAGTGAAGGTACTTGTGCACCCTTGACCTAATGATGATCCTTCTTCATCAGAGAAAGTGGTCCTCTTCCATTAAGTAGGTAGCATGGAGAGAAATGAGGGAGGAAGGTGTTTCAGTTAGGGTTTTATTGCTGTGAAGAGACACCATGATCAATGCAACACTTATAAGGGAAAACATTTCATTGGGACTGGCTTACAGTTCAGAGGTTCAGTCCATTATTGTCATAGCAGGAAGCAAGGCAGCATGCAGGCAGACTGGTGCTGGAGAAGGAGCTGAGAGTCCGACATCTAGAATGGCAGGCAGCAGGAAGAGAACTGGCTTGAGCTTCTGAGACCTCAAAGCCGGTCCCCAACAAAGCCACACTTCCCCCAACAAGGCCACACCTCCTAATAGTGCCTCTTGTTATGGACCAAACATTCAAACACATGAGTCTATGGGGACCATTCCTATTCAAACCACCACAGAAGGGGACATTGGTTTATCTAGCCACATCAGCAACATCAACCCTGGCAATCAGTGAGATGACAGATGTCACAGCCAGATCACCATCACATCCAGGAAAAGACTCTTCTATTGTTCACACAAGTGTAAACTGGTAGATTTTTTTTTAAAGTAGGTTGGGAAATATTCCTATTTCTTTTATCTAATCATTTTAATAGTTGACTTTGTCCTATGCAAGTAGGCAAAATTATGATAAGAAAAAAGCTTTGCTAAAAGAAAATTATAGATAGTGTTGTTTATAATAGTGAAATTGTAACAACTCCTTAAAAATACATCAACATGCATTAAATAAATGTGGGTCCAGTCATTGCCACTGTGCAACAGTTAGTTATGGTCCCCAAATATGTCTTGTGAAGAAAAAAATTGCAAATCTAAGACACATTCCATACCAGTTAAATCATACTTTGGGGGGAATTTCAAAACCCAAGACTGTACCAGTTAAACAATGGTAGGATGACCTATAGGCACTGTGATTTTTAAAAGACTAGTTAGGTACAATATACAAAATCCTTTAGTAATTATTGCATGAAAGGGATATAGAGGAATAGTTATGGCCATGGAAGGATGATCACAATATAATGCTTTATTTATTCATGAGTGGGATTGTTTTGTTTTGTATACAACACGTTCTCAGGCTATGGTTCAGGGTTGCCTCAAAATCATGACAATACTCCTTCTTCTGTTAAGATTACAGACTTAAGTCATCATCATGCCAACTATGTTAGGCTTTATAAACAAAGAAACAAACAAACAAACAAACAAACAAATCTTCTCCAAATAGAAGACAGTGTTAGTGAGGACATGGAAACATGCTACAAAAAGATGTGCCCTGGTTGAGATCCTTACTAAAGGGAGAACCTCAAGCCTCTGGTCACCAAAGCATTTGGGACAAGAATGGCTTCTGAACTATGACGATCCAGACTCTGAGATGGCTAGAAGCCACAGAAAGCTGGCCAAGCAGAAATTAAGCTAAGTAAGTCAGAATCTTCTTTGAGTAAAAACCATAGTTTCAAGTATTGAAGGAGTCAAGCAGCCGAAGGGATGCACAAAGAAAACTCAGAGAAAATGCCATGAGAAAATGGAATTAATGAAAAACAAACCAATAGTTAAAGTGGTGGAGGAGTCAACAGGTAAGAGTGGGCGAAGATTCAGCCGGAGAGAAGAGATGATTGAACAAGACATTCGAACTGAGGAAAGGTCCAAATGAGCTCCTAGGATGTGTCCTCCGTGAAGTTCTGATACCTGCAGAGTCTCTCCAGCACTTCTCTGGATCTGTAACATTCACCTGAGCCTGGTTTTTCGAGACAAGGTTTCTCTGTGTAACCCTGGCTGTCCTGGAACTTGCTCTATAGACCGGGATGGCCTCGAACTCACAGAGATCCGCCTGCCTCTGCCTCCTGAGTGCTGGGATTAAAGGTGTGCGCCACCACTGCCCAGCTCCTTCATGTTTTTAAAAATGTAATTTCCTGTGTCCTGATAACATGTGCACTGTCCTGTCCTGCTTGCCTAAGGCTTTTGTCCATTTTACCAAATGGAAGCCACAGCTCTTACCATGCCCCGCTTCCTAAGGCTACACTCCCCAGGCCAGACGCTAGCCAATGGGAATTCAAATTTATAGTATCTGTGAAATCTCTTTTAGTTAAGACACAATTTGGCTTTTTATTTTTTATAAAGAAAATGACAAATCTGTCTTTCCCTCTTTTGCTTGTCTCAAGTTTGAGTAGAAAGGACAATGTTAGAGATAAGTTAATGGGCTGATATTGTTTAAAAAAATAAGAAAAATAAGTTAGCTGGGTGATGGTGGTGGTGGTGGTGGTGGTGGTGGTGCATGCCTTTAATTTCAGCACTCAAGAGACAGAGGCAAACAGATTTCTGTGACTTTGAGGCCAGCCTGGTCTACACAGTGAGTTCCAGGACAGCCTGGGCTACGCGGAGAAAGAAACCCTGTCTTGAAAAACCAAATCCAAAAAAAAAAAAAAAAGAAGAAGAAAAATATATTCACTAACATTTGCTAAAAATACTGATAGTTTTAAGTTTACAGTTTTCTTTCTTTTTTTTTTTTTTTTTTTTTTTGAGACAGGGTTTCTCTCTGTGTAGCTTTGAGGCCTTTCCTGGAACGCACTCTGTAGCCCAGGCTGGCCTCGAACTCATAGAGATCCTCCTGGTTCTGAATCTCGAGTGCTGGGATTAAAGGCGTGCGCCACCATCGCCCAGCCTTACAGTATTTTTTGAATAAGAGTTCATTGGTGATAAAATTTCACTATTGATGTTTAATAGAATTTTAAGAAAAGCAGATGTTTAAGATAACATGACCAACTATTTCACATTAATCATCATAACTCAATGCATAAGATATTTAACCCCTAAGTTCCAGAAATAAATGAATTAACCAATGCCATATTATATTCACATTTATTTTCAGAGATTGCAAATAAAGGTGTAATTAATAAATACTATAAAAATAAATACTTCCAAACATAAAAGTACTGTATTAGAGTAAAAAGAATATTAACAAAATATGAAATATGAAACTAAGGAGGGAAAGAAAAAATATATACTTCTTGACTAAAACAGCCTTAAATTTTTTAAGTAAATGTATCAAATCACTAAATTGCTCTAGCTATATTTAAAAGCACCGTTAACAGTTTTAAATTAAATATTTTAATACTGTGGAAATGGCATGCTTTGTAACTATGAAACCCATGATAAAAAATTTAAACATTGACTGAAATTAGTAATGGGGTATATAAATTTTTCAAAACATTTTTAGGGAGTAGTGAAACAAAAAATTAAGACCCATATATAATGAAACACTTTACACTCTGGTGTTTATCATTTTCATGGCTGATCCTTGTTAAAGACATACAAAACATGAAAGATATACTGCTTACTAAATAAGTTACAGCATGATACATCACAGTTTAAAATCCAGAAGAAAATGATAAATTTTAATACATTAATTTGTTGTCATATCAATTATTTAAATGTACTAATGAGGCCATATTATAAACATCAAGGACTGAAATATTAATAAGATTATCTATATGTGGTACAATTATGAGTGATTTTGACTTTAGTTTATCTTTTTTCTTATTTGTACACTGTAAACTTTTATATTTATAGTATAGATAAAACTAAAATATCACTCTAAAAAGTATTTTTACCTAAGTGTCAATAACTTAGAAGAGGCAACAAAGAAAATCCTGCAGAGTTTTACTTTTGGTTGTAATTCTGAAGGTTAAGCCATGACAAATGCTACCATAAAGTCTTGCTTCTTGATCCTAAACTCAGCTATCTTTATCCAGAATCCTCGGGACATTTATTCTGAACAAGGAGTGCAGAATCAGACCCCTAATAGCAACACTACTACATCACTAGAGATATGCTGCATAAGTCTTTCTGAAAAGGGCCAATCAGCAGGAGACATATTTTACCCAGACATTTCCTTCATGGCCCTGAATTATAACTTACCTTAACTGAAAAACATAGAGGCTAGAGAATACAGAAATGGGAGTCAGCTTCCATTGTGCATTAAGTTTGAATTATTATTCTTCAAGGAGTTCTGAGGCTGTCCAGTGTGTATTAAATCTTGAACAAGTTTCAGATTTTGAGAACCGAACAGTAATTGGTTTGTAAAATCGGCTTAAGCATTTCCATCTGCACACATAAAATGTTGATTAATTTTCTTTCTAGCTATGTGGTGAGGCATAGTGATGCATTTTGACATTGAGCTCTTATCTGCAGTTATAGGACAGAAAAGTCATTACACTTTCCCTCTCTGTGAAGATATTTCTTGGTAATAATACTCTACACAAAAATAGTACCAGGTGATACTTGGCTAGCAGTCAAATGGATCTTGGCTTTGTCTATAATTGCAATTTTTAAAGGACTTAATTCTGAGCCCTGCTTGGTGGCACACACCTTTAATCCCAGCACTCGAGAGGCAGAGGCAGGAGAATCTCAGTGAGTTTGAGGCCAGCCTGGTCTTCAGAGTCAGTTCCAGGACAGCCAAAGATAAACAGAGAAACTCTCTCTCTCTCTCTCTCTCTCTCTCTCTCTCTCTCTCTCTCTCTCTCTCACACACACACACACACACACACACAGGACTCAGTTCCACAAACACTTGATTTAATAGTCCGCTAATTCTAGTCCATCTCCCACAGTTTGGAAATATCCTGGCTAGAGGCTCCTGATGTCAATGCACTTCTCTTTCTCTTACCCACAGGTCCACCACTTCCCTTTAACATTTGGGGAAAAAATTGCAAGGTATGTAAATAAAAATGCTATGATAAGCAAAAAGAGAGTTTTATTTATTGTGGCTAGGGGTTGACTGAAATTGAAATTCAAATGCAAACTTATATAAAAGGCAAAACTGACCATCCTGGCTTGAATCAATGCTATAAATGGCAGCTCTTTCATCCTATGGCTTGTATCAGAATACTGAAGAAGGACACTAGTCAAGTTACATTTCATGTAGACACAGATGTTATTTCCCTACAAGTGGGACTAGTTAGAAATAGAAGCAGCTTAGAATAAATAGCAATGAAGACCCCTGGGGCTCCTTGAGATGCAGTCTTTTGGAGAGGAGAGACTTGAACTTGCCATTAAAATATACCCTATGTACTTGGTCTATTTTCCATTTAATGTGTAATTTCTTTGCCTCAAATACTGCAGAGTACTGCCTATTAATATATAAAATTCTCCGTTAAAACAGGCTTTTGTGCTAGATTTTGCTATTCTATCCTTCTTGATGGTACACTAGAATTGTTCAGAGATGACCTACAGAACTCTTGCCTGCTTCGTGTAGAGATCGACTATGAGTACAAGGATTCCATTCCTCCTCCTGGTAGTGTGTCAGAAACAAAACACTAGGACATCCTAATTCTAATACTAATACCAGTTGGGTGCTTGACATCTGGTGAGTTACTTAAACATCTTAATAGCAGTATCCGTGCCGAGTTGCTGTGAAGAACGTGAGGAGATACAGGAGTTTACTGACAACTCTAACACACAGTGTTCCCTGGAGAATGTAATTCTGATCCACCTCCTATTGGTTGAAATTTGCTGAAGATTTGCCGTGATAGGAGACTCTCTATACTGATAAGTAAAATTTCACTGCACACATGAAAACAATATATTGATGATCAAAATCACAGGTTTGGTCCTCTTTGGGCTGTCCTAATTTCCTTCTGTCACTGACAGGAAGCAGTGTGATGGAGGAAGGGGCTTATTTGGCTTTAATTTCAGCTGACTATTATTGGGGGGAAGTCAAGGCAGGAACAAAAGGAGCTAGTCACATCACATCCACACTCAAGAGCTGAGAGACACAAATGCATCCATGCTGCCTGCTTGCTTGCCGTTGGTCTCAGCTAGCTTCCCTCATTCATGTGGCTCAGGGTCCAGCCCACAAAATGGAGCTGTTCTCATTCAAGATCTGTCTTCCTACCTCAATTAACAATCAAGGCAATCCCCACAGGCACACCCACAGGCCAGCCTGATCTAGATAATTCTTCATTTGAGACTCCCTTTTTAGGTAATTCTAGGTTGTGACAAGTTGACGTTTAAGATTCACCAGCACAGTAATCAAATACCTGACCTCTACGGGGCAGATGCTTGATGACATCTCAGCGGTCAAGAAGCAGGGTAGGACAGGAGGTAGGGCAGGATACAAACCTTGGGTACCATTCTCCTTCCCAAGATATACTTCCTCCAGCTAGAGCCCCTCCTCCCAAAGGTCCAAAGCCTCCCAAAACAGCACGGCCACCCAGGTACTGAGTGTTGAAACACATGAGTCTATGGAGGACATTTTACATCCAAACCATGGCATACTGCATTCTGTGCTGTAGTTGATCTACTCATGCTCAGTATACTTACCTTACTAGTCCATTCACTTGATGGCACACTTAAATATTTTATAATGTCAATGCTACTTATCTTAAAAACTTTTAGTTGCTGTGTATTTATGTATTGCTGTGTACAATGTTGTTATATCAAATAAAATAGCAAGTCATAAGGAACTTAAAAGTATTTTACAAATATGATTTGCCTTGACTAAAAGTCTTCAAGTAAATGATGAAAAAATTCTCTGTCATGGATAGATTTGCTTTTGGGGAAGATCAAATTAATGAAGGCTTACCGCCAGGGAAAATTTATTAACAAAATCCCCCTGCACACACAGGATTAAGCACAAAGCAATTAATGGAAATTGAGTGTCACTCATTTGTGAGAGGGAAAAAGTATGATCTAATCATTCAAATGTTGTTATGACCCTTGTTTCCCCAGGCAATGACAACTTAGGAAGCAACCAAGCATAAGCAATAATTATATCAGTGGTCTGGCTAATTCTTATACAGAATTTTTCCTGGGATACAAAGTCTCTTTTGCTGGTGGAGAAATCATAAAAAGCAATTGATCAAATCATTTTCCTATGCAATGTTATTCTAGCAACTTCCACATACATATCAGAAAGGCAAGTAAATATAAAGAACAACTATTGGTTTTCTTTATCACCTTCTATCTTTGAAGAATTCATACTGACAGCATACCTTCACCGAATAAAGCACAGACTCAGGAAACAGAAGGGAAATTTACAGGCACTTTTCATGTTGGGAAGGTTCTAGCCCAACTCCCCTGGAACCGCTACCCCAAAGAGATAAAATCTCAGTGTAGTAAAATCTCTATTTAGCAGTTTGGCATCACCATGGAAACCTCTCCCCCTCAGTGACATAATGAGATGGTAATGCAAACAGCTGCCACATAATGAACCTAGGCACAAACAGAGGCCGAGCTACTCATGCCAAAAAGTGAATGGCAGGAGGGTCAGATAGATGGGGGCGGGCATGATCAATGAGCAACAAGAACGCCCCCCAGTGGGTGTTATGGGAAGGGGCGGACAGAACTGCCTAAAACTGTAATATTGAAGCTCTCAAGAGTTTGATTATTGCAAATTTCGATACTGAATCTGTGACATTCCCATGTAGTGGCGATGGGGTGTACAATAAGAGTTTTTATTATCTAGGTTCAACCTAATATTTCACATGACTAACACTTCATACTCAAAATGTGTGGCTTGGCAGATTAGGATTCTTTCTTCTACTGGGTCTCAAGGAACAACTGTAAGATAAGAGCAGTGTTAGGATGCCAGGAGGGTAGTTCCATTTTCAGAGAATGAGAGGATGTGATGCCTTCCTTTAAAGCACTCCCAAGTGGGTAGAAATTGCACCCTTCCCTTCAAGGATGATCTGAGTCCACAGATTGGAACTGGCTGATAGACTTGCATGCATAGAGCAAGAGAGACAATTAAAAACTGTCTTGCAGAGAAATCCACATTAAAAGACATGAATTCAGAAAGACTGGGCCAAGAGAAAGAAACAAGGCTTAGTATGAGGGAATCCGAGAAGTAACAAGGAAACTAGAATATGACAACATGGAATTTATATATGCATATGTGTGTATCAACTTTATATATCATTTATATGACAGTTGAATTTAACTTGAATATGTTTATCATATGTGCATACAGCATAGGTCCCACACATATACACAGACTTGGTCTAAATTCTCCCTATTTTGGTTTGACTCTTGAACTCCCTCAGAGGCATACAAGTTCAAGGGGTACACGAAAGCCCACCAGTTTTATAAAAGCAACAGGAGGAGCTGCCTAGAATTGCTGCCAACCTGGGGTGCTTCTGTGAAGTGGTGAGAGTGCACGGAGACAAGGCCGATGAGATGGAACTAGGTCACTGGAGTATACCCTAGGAGGGACACTGGGACCCAGGGCCCTCCTTTCTCTCTTTGCTTCCTAGCCACCATGAGGTGGGCAGTGGTCCTCTGCCACATGCTCCCACTGCCATGTTCTGCCTTGTCAAATTCCTGAAAGCAGCAGAGCCAACCATGGACTGAAGCTTTTGAAAAGATGAGTCAAATAAAGTTTCATTCATTGTGTTGACACATAACAGGGATTTCATCACTGTGATGGAGTGTGACACCCCCCTCACTTCAGGAGAGCATCACTTCTGCAAAATGAAGGCTTTTATGAGCTCAGGGAGCCCAGGATTGTGACAAAGCTAGTCATCAAAAAGTAAGCAGAGAATTATCCTACCCTAGATTTCGTCCATAGAGAAAGTGAACTTCCGTCCCAGAGGAAATACTTCAAAGGACAGCAGTAGCAAATACAAATATTTTTATCACTACATTATATAAGTGATGCTTGTTTGATATAAAAGTTTTACTTTGTGATTGCTGTGTACATATACACACAAGGAGAAAGCTTATATGTATACACAAAGGAGAAACAATATGAAGGAATAGTAAATTTTGGTTTATGTGAAGCAGGACTACTGAAGCTTTTGAAAACATGTTGATCAAAATCATTCTTTTTTTAATATATAACTTATTTTTATTTTATGTTCACTGGTGTTTTCCCTACATATATATCTGTGGGAAGGTGTCAGAAGCCCTGGAATTGGAGTTACATACATGTATGAGCTGCCATGTGAGTGCTAGAAATTGAACCCAGGTCCTCTGAAAGAGCAGCCAGGGATCTTAACCACAGTCATCTCTCCAGCCCCTCAAAAGCATTCTTATCCCACACATCTATGCATCTTTTCAAATGCCTATTGGGCTAGGCATTGTCATGCCTAGTGGAAGGGTGAGTC